CTCACCTTCTCAAACATGGTCTACACCTTGACAACTTAGCATAAAGTTTATCCCCTTTCAACATTGTAATTCAAATCACAACGTTCAACATTCCATTATTCTGACTTAGATTAACTCATAATATCCTTAATACACACCACAACAAACTAATCCAAATATTCTTAATGCTTTCACAAGTTCTAAAATATGTCCTCTAACTATCTCAGAGAAGCAAAATCTTCTCCTCCACTTATTTCAAACCAACTCCTACAGACAAATAATTAGAAAAATAAGCAAGTACTGAAAGTGTTGCACACACATGTCGGGTACTAAGGAACAAACAACATTAGACAACCTGGTCGGACGAAATGACCTGCTCTGATATCAATTCTAACACCCCACTTTCCCATATAAATAATTATAATATAATATATGAAAATATATCAGAGTACACAAGTAGGATGTCACATTTTCAAAAATTCATATAATTTCAAATCAATTTATTACTTCATTTCTCATAAAAGAATCATTTAAACAGTGAAAATATCCAATTATTCATTTTGATAGCGCCACAATTTTAATAACAACATTCTCCACAAAATTCGTGGTTCAACATAAGCTTGAATTATGATACATAACAATAAAATAATGGAAAAACATAGCAAGTTCCCAAATCCCGTGTTACGTATCAGAGCAAGACCCTCTATATCCAAAAAAATACACTAAAGACTCCAAGCTATCCTCACGCTTCTACGAACTATTCTCGGTCATCTGTGCGTTACCCACGTAGAGGCAACATTCAAACAGAAAGGGTGAGTAATCACAATTCATTACAAAATATATAAGGAAAAGATATAGTAGTTATAAACAAAACCAATTATGAAATATGTACATCATCATTTACCAAGTATTATACTCACACTTTTGTATCATAATAACATATGCACATCTTCATCATAAATCATCGAAAACACATTCTTCATTCATACAGCACGACATCAAATCAAGGCAGTGCAATGCAATGCAACTGACAACAACTAAATGCATGTGGTACCAACAGGGCACAAGCCCCCAACATAGTGCCAATTGGGAAACACCAGAGCATAAGCCCTCAACACAATGATATTCCATGCCAACAACAGAGCATAAGCCCTCACCAATAAATGCATACAAAATTAACATGCAACAACACAATTATACAACCGCAAGGCATAAGCCTTCAACACTATGCCAATTTAGGCCATCAACATCATTATCACCATAGTATCATCAAAACAATCATATCGTCACCATAACATCATTATCATCATATCATCATGACATCATATCACCATAAAAAACAATCATCTCATCATCACAACATCATTATCATCAACTAATCATCATAGTATCCAAGTAACATCATAACATATAATTCATCATCATGTCCTAATATTATATATGGTATCATCATTATTATCTTCTAATCATCTTTTATAAACTATCATTATCATAATGTATCACGGGGAACCTAACTTCATTCTAATCTAGATATTGGGGATATACTTCCTATTCTTCATTTTACTACCCCTAAATAAAGTCCATCATGTTAGCTATCCAACGCTTCGAATGAAACCTCAAACCGAGTTCTATAACTCAAGTTACGACTCTTCTAAGAAAGTTTAACTCAACGTCTCAATTCTGGACATCATCACCCGACGAAGACTCTTGCTCTCTCGACGAAACTCCTTTCGCTCCTACATCAACTGGCGAAGGTGCGAGCGAAGCACTCCAGTAGCCATCCTTTTCTGTGCCTTCCATCTCCTCCTACATTTTCCTAGCGGAGGCCTAGCAAAGTTCCATCGCTCGACGACGCCTTCTTCATCGCCCGACGATGCACACTAGAAAACAATTACCTATTGAGATCCTGCACCTGTTCAGTCCCAAATGCTCTTGCGATCTTACACTAAAACAGTCTCAACCCTCATAGTTTTCAACATAGAATCACTATACAACAACTACACAATATTATAAACATTATATACACCAGCTCATGGCAATTCAACATAGTACTTTCATCAATTTTAACACGAGTTCTTCACAATACAATATATCACCAAAACCATCATAAAATCACCACAATAATATGTATTATATTTGCACATGCATATCACTAAATTATCATCATGAATCACATCATTTATGTCACAATAACATCATTAACAAATAACCACGGTAAAACATCATAATCAACATCATGTTTATCATTAAAATAGCACATCATGGTATAACAACATGTAATGAATCAATCTCATAATAGATATTTAAATCATGCATTAAAATATTCATGTAATTCAATCTTAATATAGTACATCACGTTAGCTCTCCAGCGCTTCGAGCGGTGTGTAAAACGGACTCCTGAAACTCAAGTTACGGTGTTTTGAAAATTTTTGCTGCATCGCTTCTGCCATCAGTCGCCCAATGCAGCCTTTGCGTCGCCTTTGCGCCACCTCTGCGTCGCTCGGCGACGCTAACCAGACAACACTTCTCCTCCCTGCGATTTTCCATAGTTGGAGGCCTTCCAGACCTCCGAATTCGATTTCGTAAAAAATCTCAGTTTAAGAATTGGAAATCCTATGATTATACAATATTCTTAACAGTCTATAACACTTATTTAAAGGTCCTAACATCACACATTTATCAATGATTCATTCATTCATTCAACACATGATTTTTCCCAAATTTCATCAATCCTCATCAAAACCAACACACAAGACACAACCTACCAACACTTTAACCCGATATCAATTATAATAAACGTGATTAAACCCCTTACCTTAGAAGTTTTTGCTAGCAATCGAATCCTCTTCGTGTTCTACCGAAACTCCTATGCTCCTTCTTGCCTCTTTGTGCCCTATCTCTGCCTCTGCCTCTTTCTCCCAAAAACTATCGTACAGCATGAGCGATCAAAATTCTCAAACCTTCCTTATACCAAGCTTAACCTTTGGACCCCTAATATTGGTCTTCCCATCATGTTCTCACTTATTCCACATTACTTTACCATTTAGCCCTTCTTGTTTCTACACCATAATTTTCTTTATAATAATAATTCTAAATATTATTATTAAACCCAATAAATCTCAAATAATTACTTAAATTCTAAATAATTATAAACTAATCAAATACTCCTCATATATTATTATTCTAACACTACCCCACAACATACCATCACCAAACACTGTGATGCATCATATAAATCATACCCAAATAATCACAAATAACTAATTAAATAATTGATTATGATTTTTAGGTGTTACAGACGTCATTTTAAAAATGTTGATTTTGAATTTCAATTTTTTAAAGAACTATTTATACCACCAAAGTGATTAATGATTGAGGCGCATACTAGATTACTCTCTTTAAAAATATTTAAAGACATTGTCTAAAATTGTGCAAGCAGACTATCAACCACAAAATTTCCCAAAAAAAAACTTTATCAAATTATATTGTATATCCTACTGCACTACAGACACCGATCTATAGTACACCCTCAAATTATAGTAGTAAAATCATCTGTAATAGTTTCTTGATAGATAACTAATTCTCGAACAGGGTCGGCCCTAGGGGTAGACCACCAAGACTACCGCCTAGGGCCTCACTTTTTTTTTATATCTATATAGTTCTAATTTTTTGACTTTTAAAAGAAAATTAAATTATTTTATATACTAATTAAATAATATCATATATTAAGAATTTATAATAATAACAATCATTTAGAATTAGAATGTGTATGGTATAATTGAGTAGTTTAAAAATTAATATCGTCTTATGTATTCAAAAGGCTTTATTTATTATAGTTTAATTGCGGAAAATAAATAGAAGTTCTATTTTATTATTGTATAACTATAGTTCACATTTTTTTAGGCTCTTTTTAGTCATGAAAATTTTTAGATCCCGTATAATAGTCCGCTTTCCACATCTTCAATATTAATAGTCATACTTATAAATACTAAATTTTTAAGTTATTTTACATACAAGAATACTTGAAATTTAATTTTTTTTAAACAACTTTAGTAATACTTTTTCAATTATAATTTTTTAATGATAAAAAAAGTGTTTAAAATATATTGATTTTATTATCAAATGAAAGAAAAATATTAAATAAAATTGATTAGAATAATTTAACGATTTTACATTCTAAAAAATCTAATTAAAATATATTAAATCTAAAATAAAAATATTTTAATTATACTAAAAAAAGTTTAATTTTAAATTTCGTTTTAGATCTCAATGTGTTGAATCGGCCCTATCTCCTAAGAAAGTTTCAAGAAATACTCATTTTAACAAATTAAAAGGAAAAACAGACTCTAAAAATTTCAACAAACCTGGAAGACAATTTTAAGTGTATATATAACAAAAAATTTAGTTCCAATCCATAAACGAATGGACCACCTCATTTAATGTTATCAAAGAAGACAATGAGATGTAAAAAAGTGGGGGAAATTTTGAGAGTGAAAGTTTAGTCAAACAGAGTGGGCAAAAATTCGAGAATGGTGCATGGTCTCACACTCAATTCTCAATTACAGTTTACTATGTTAATGTTGAATATAATGGAACTCAATAAAAGTTTATTGTTCAAAATGACTTGTCCATTTCAAATTTAATTTTCTTTAGAAAAATTTATAGTTTTTAATGCTAAAAAATAAGATTATATCAAGCTAAGCTTGACTACACGTTGTATTAATTATTAGCCTCACTCTTTCAATTAAATTATTCCCAACACACCCATACTCTTATTACACTAAACCAGAGAAAATCAAGAAGTTTCCACCGTTGTACCATCATAATCTATATAGCATCCGTTTTATAACCATTAAACATAACATAGATGACTACTCCTATGATAGTTACACGACAACAGATAAAGGGGGACAAGAACCTTAAGTATCTCCTCGGAAAACAGACACGAAATCAGTAACACGTTAAACATGTACACACGCGCACCCCCTTATCCACAAGAGGCAGAAGCTACAAGATTGCATTCAATAATGCTCGTCATACATTGTATGGTGACTATCATCCCACTGTGATTTTGTATGGTGACTACCTCCCCATTGTGATTTATCAGCCTGCAAAATAACAGTGCCATTAGTGCAACAGAATCAAAGCATGATAATTCTACAATAAACAAAAGTTTCATAAGGAAATACCCTATGGATCAGATTCTCAAATGCCTCTGTTCCATTCTCTTTGATGTACTTCTCTGCAGCAGTTATAATGTCATCTGGCTTAGAGAAGACGTCCTTTTTCCTTGGAACATACCAGATGTTAATGGTCTGAGGATTGGCTAAGAAGGCTCTTACATAGTGCTCATAAACATAAGCAGCACCAGTAAAGTAAGGAAGGACCAACCAGCAGGTTAGAATCAGCTTTGCATATGGCCATATAGGAATCCTGAAATATGTTGTGAAAATTCAGTAGAGCTTCTAAATATACACATAAACAAAGAACTCAAACAGAGCTTGATGCAATGTAGAAAAATACATACATCCAGTTAAATTATTAAGTAGTATACTTTTCATTGAAGGTCAGTTGATTGTTCTAAAAAATTTACAGTCACATTAGAAAGGGCAAAACTTTAGTCTTGTAATTCAAAATCACAAATAAAAAGAAAACCTAATTGAAACTTGCAGTCAGGTTCATTAATGTCATAACAATACTAATATTAAATTATTTTTTCAAGACAATTTCTAATTATAGGTTTCTTAACATGTGCCCTTATGGCACATGTTAGCATTACCCATACTAATTTAGCACATCCAAAGGTTCATTAGTGTCATTACAATACTAATTCTAATTAGCACATCCAAAGGGTCCAATGCAAATATACAAAGACACAGTAGTGAAAAATGCTTAGAGGTGATACAGCAAAGGCAGAATGAAAAACCCATAAAACTAGTACTCCCTCTTATCTCATATATAACTAAAAAATATTTAATTAACAAAAAATGTAGTTAATCCCATTTAATATTTTCAATGTTATAAAAATAAGTAATTGCATTGTCTAAATCGCCCCTCATGGGAAATTGTTCCATGATGATTAAATAGTTACTCAAAATAAAAATCTAAATCAAGAAAGGTTATTTTAGGGATAATAACACTAAATATAGTAGAGTTAGCTAATTTTTGCTTATACTTATGACTAAAAAATATGATTTCTTTTTATTGCTCATGTTCCAATCGAGAGGGAGTAACTACTTGACCACATTTTCTTAAGATATCTCAAATGTATCATCACATTCACTAAGTACTCCTCCTATATAGTCTCATGTAGGTTGGTGAGCTAGGGTATTTGAAAGAGTTTTACTACTTTAAAGCATGAGGTCACAAGTTTGATATCAACGAAACCACAAATTACTATGTTATGAACAATTATTTTGGTGCCGAGTAAAATAAAGAAAGTTACACTAAAAGATGCCAACAACTCTAAAACTAACTATTTCATTCATTTACTGCATGATAATTACATTCACCAATCACGTATTTATAACATTGTATTTACAACATTGGCATAAACCAATTACTCATTATCTATATCCTTCTAAAAAGTAGTGACCATGTATCCTTACTCATTGCCTCATAGAACTTGGGCATATTAATTAGCATATTTAGATCATTACACACGACCTCTATTTTTTATTATATGTCACTTTGAAAAAAAATTGTACCAAATTATAAGTGACTTTCTAATACCATCCTTAACTATTTATTCCTCTTTTTTCTTCCAATACTTTTATTTTCTCTTTCATATGTCTTAATGAAAGATAATTTTGTGGACTCATTCATAATCTCTCTTTTATTAGGTACATGCGACATTAGGGACCTACTAAAAACCGGAGTTAGTACTAGTAGTAACTGTTTGACCATCAAATGAATATAAACATAAACTCATAAAAAATGAAACTACTAAGAGTAAAAGGGGTACAATACCATTCAAGAATTTTGGCAAAAGTAAGTTCAAAAAGAGTGATCATGGAATAGAGAACCCAATAAGTTAGCCATTGCTGATCATCCACGGGAGACTTACTCTCAATTGCCCTAACCGAAGCATATCTGCATTACACAAATGACAAATAATAGCCTAACCCATCATAGCACAATTCAGGATATTGAAAAAAAAAAAGATTGAGATTAAACTTACAGAGGATAAACAAGACTAACCACAGGCCTGTAAAAGAAACAACAAGAACATAAACAAAAGTTAAAAAGAAGAATCTCAATTGAAGAAAAAAACACAATCTTAAGAAGAGTAAAGTAAAACACATTGAGTAAATAGGTTTAGTAATTGCAAAAAAAAGAAGTGGCATTTGAAAAGAGGAGGAAAAGAAACATACCCAGCAAGAACATCAATGTTTCTGATAAGCACCATAAGAAAATCAGCGGCACCAGATCCGGATCCAGACCCTCCCATCTTCGATCGAACACCGACTGGTAACAGAAGAGGAAATGCTTTGGGAAAGAAAGATGAAGTTAGAGAGAGAGTGTGAAGTGTGTCTGAAAGGAATAAAGATAGAATGAGAAAGTTAGGGGTATGTGTTTGTGTGCAGCGGAGACTAGAGTAGTAGTTTAAAGAATAACCGTTGATTAGGAAAATGAGATTTTTGATTTGAGATATTGGGATATTGGGATGGAATGGTGGAACACCGTGGTTGTGAATTGTGATGCAGTGAAGTTTGGGTCTAGTGGGTTCGGTGACCCAACGAAAATTTGTGGAGTCAGAATTGAGACAAGGGTACCTACCAAATCTACCTTTGTTTTCTACCATGATAATTACGAAATTACTGCTGCCGACCTAAGTATTTGTGAATAACGTTTTTCTCGATTTGTATTTAGTCACCTACCTATTGCGTCACGCAGTAACTACCGTCTGATTTTGTTAAATTAATGGTTGATATTGTATAATTGTCTTAACATCAACTCATAAAATAATACTACCTCCGTTCATTTTTTTTCATTTTAAATTTATTGAATAATTAATATAGGTTGTTTATAAACAGATCAAATATATTAATTATTTGATGGATTTAAAAAATAATTTATCTGTTATAAAAAAGAACGGAGAAAATACATACGTAAGAATATATATGCGATCATTACTTATTTTGTTTCGTTAATTTTAATATGTTTAATCATTTCTTACAAACAAATAATTATTTTGTTATAGGAACAAGAAAATGGCAAATTTTTGTTGAATGAGATTTTCAACAATTAAGCAGCTCATCCTGGGAACACCCCATCCTTCAACAAATTCAACTTGATGGTTAGGAGAGGAGTTAACAGCTCATCCACGGTAGAAACAAACAGATATTCTTTCACAACATTGGCATTATATCCATGCCTCGGCATCAGAGCGGAGATAACATTCGGCTTTTCAGGAGCTTCAAATTTAACTTCCTTTGCGTCAATCAGATCTTGAATCTTGTTCTTCAAGGCCCAACAGTTGTTGGTGTCGTGCCCTGGACTTTCTGAATGATAAGCACATCTGGAGTTGGGATGGTAATATAGAGAAGTAGTGTTAGGATTTTTAGGGGCCTCCTTTAGCATGGCCAGGTTCAACAAGAGATGTGGTAAGACTTGAGCAGGAGTCATGTTTATCTTGGTGAATTGCCTTACAGGCCTTTCCACCCTTTGCTGGTTATTTCTCGGCTGATCATTTCTCGGCTGGTTGTTTCTCGGTTGGTCTGATGCGGACTTTTGAATCATAACGACCCCCACTGTTGGTCGTCGTTCGGTTATTCCCTGATTTCTCTGGGCATAGACAGCAGACACTTCCTTCTTTCCAGTGAAGGGCTTTTTTATAGCAGCAGAGGTAGATGCATCTTTCTGAATATTCCCGCTTCTAATACCGGCTTCCACCCTCTCGCCAGTTAGAATCAACTCAATGAAGCCTGCAGAGGAGCTTCCAATCAGGTGATTAAAGAAAGGACCTGACAGAGTCCCCAAGAACATGTACACTAGCTCTCTTTCAGATAAAGGTGGTTGCACCCTTCCGGCTAAATCCCTCAACTTTTGGGCGTAGTCTTTGAAACCCTCATTGGTAGCCATAGCCATACTCTGTAGCTGAGTACGGGTTGGCACCAAGTCGGCGTTGTATTGATACTGTTTATAGAAGGCGGCTGCCAAATCTTCCCAATTATGGACATCAGACCTCTCCAACTGGTAAAACCAATCCAGCTGCGTCCCTGACAAACTGTCCTGGAAAAAGTGGACCCATAAGTCTTTCTCAGAAGAACGTGGTTGAACTTTCCTGACATAAGATCGTAGGTGCATCTTTGGGTAAGACACCCCATCATACTTAGAAAATAAAGGTACTTTAAATTTAGGAGGGATTACTATTCCAGATACCAGTCCTAACTCTTCAAAGTCCAGCCCAGGTACTCTTTGCACTTCCATAGCAGCTAGACGTTCTTCCAGGTTTTTGTATTTGTCATCGGCCGGAGGATACTGTTGTTCAGAATAGTCCTCATATTCTTCTTCTTCTTCTTCTGCTTCAGAATCAGATGGCACTACAATTCCTTTTCCTTTTCCTTCCCCCTCTTCAGATGTTGATGGGAATTCCAAAGTACGTTTAGCTGGTCCTTCAAATCTTCTGCTCATGACAACCACACCAGCTCTCTTTTTCTTCTTTTTTTCTTTTTCTTTCTCTAGTAGAGTCTTGAGCTCCTCCTACCCCTTGACTAAGGTCAAGAGTAGCTGTTGAAATTGTGAATTCTGAGCTTGTAAGTCTTTGACCGTTTGTTCAATATCCATCTTGCTGAAATAAACAACAGAGAGATGAGGAAACTTGGAGTGAAGACCTGTTTATGCATATGATGAATGATATGTATTCATGTAATGCTTTCAAGGATTCAGAAATTCAAATTTGTTTTAAACAAAAAAGAAACACACGTCATATTAATAAGATAGAATTTGTTGGTACATCAATGCCCCATGGGCAAAATAATACAAAATTCTAAGGTAAAAAGACGTTGCGCATCCTCTTTGGTGCAATGTAGGTGTTGAGAGTCTGCTCTTCGTGAAGTAACCGAGTGAGTTCCAAAACCTTCTTCTCGCTTGCGTATAATTGGGCTTCAAAAGTATCGCGCTCTCCCTTGAGCTGTATCTAACTCCTTTGTAGATCTTCAAGTGATGTTGGCATGTCAGGATGTAGGAGGGTGTATGGAACCTCTCCTTCCATAACAGGCTCTATAATCACTGGGAGAATGGAGGGGTAAGGCATCATAAGACTTTGGGCGCGGGTTCGTACCCACTTGAGGTAAGGCTCAAGGGGGATGGAATTCTCGTGTCCCAAGGTCCTACTGTCTACCTTGTTGGGCATCTTCCAAGCTCGGATGAACCTTTGACGAAGTCCTTGGTTGTCGTTGTCGAAGTCGAAAACCAATCCTTGAATCAACATGTCATGTGGGCCATCCCTTCGGGCATACCCAAATTGTCTCAGAGCCAAGCAAGGGTTGTAGGTGATGCCTCCCCTAATACCAAGTAGAGGGACATTAGGGAATTCCCCACAATGGTCAATGATGATGACATTCTCTTTGGATCGAGAACACCAATGAATATCTGAATGTGTAAGGGTCATCAATCGTTGTGACCACCTCAAACCTTGCTCATTCTTCAAGACTGATTGGGTAAGATGAGAAATAAACCATCTTGCCAGTAGAGGAGTGCAAAACATGAGAACACCTCTTTTCCTCATTGTACGACTATGAAAAGAGTGGAGGATATCCTCAAGCAATGTAGGCACCGGGTTGCGAGTCATGAAGATTTTGACAGCAGTCACATCTATGAGTTGATCAGGGTTAGGGAACAACACCATCCCATAGATGAGAAGAGCTACAATCTCCTCAAAAGCTTGCAAATCTAGAGAATTCCAACAGCTTTGGGCCTTCTCAAACAGAAACTTTGGCAAGAAGCCTTTGACACCACTTCTAGTTTCCCAATGTGTTGTGACATCAGATGAGTGCAAGTGTAAGGCTTGAGCAATCTCTTATGGCTTTGGATCTCTTTCCGTACCGTTGAAAGGTAGTTGATTGAGAACAGGAATCCTCAGAAGTTGAGAAAATTCCTCCAAAGTGGGCACAAGTTGATAGTCAGGAAATATGAAGCAATGATGCAAAGGGTCAAAGAACTGGAAGAGAACTTTCAGCATATCCTCCTCTGTGTTGGAAGTGACTAAGTTGAGAAGACAACCATGCCTCTCGGTAAATGGAGAATTCTAAAGAATCCTTGAAGCTATCTCCTTGAGTTGAGGAGGAATTCTTACAAGGTTGACTTGGATAGTTTTCCTGCGAAGTGATTCCATAACCTATAAAACAAGAACAAAGATGAAATTCCAAAATCCTTGAAATGGTTAGTGGATGCATATGATGCTTCATGATGTCCATGATGTTATGCACAAGTATATATGTACAAACAAATCACACAAGTTCCTAGTTTAGGCTTGCATGGGGTTTCATAGGTAAGTATCCTCTTGAAGTTTAGTTGGCTCAACCTGTCCTAGAAATAGTAACCGGGTTCTAAGGAGCTCAATATAACTAGATTGTTCCCTTGTTCATTGTTTCAATTCAGACTCTTTATTGGCGACCGAAATATTCCAAGGAACCAACCCTCAATGAGTATAGTATCGAGTATCTACCAACTTCAGACTGCACTAAAGCCGGTCATCTCACTACATCCTAAAAGGCCAAGTTGGTCAAGTAAAGGTTCTAAAAGTCCATTAGTGCTTCATGACATCACTCAGCGGCCCCGTATTCTCTTTGATTGACTCAAAGGCTACCGGTACCCACAAATATGTCGCACTAATATAGCTATTGCTTAGACCATGTCGGTATACCCCACATAGTTTCCACAATGTATTGCTATTTACCTATGAATGTTTCCCAAATCTGGGTAGAGGATTCAAACCCAAACAATAGAACCAAAGTGTAAAGCAAACAAGTCAAGCAAGATAAGCATGTAAAGGTGATCTAAAACCCTAAGGTAACCCCAATTTTAGAATAGTCCCCAGCAGAGTCGCCAGTTTTGTGATGCGGTGGGAGGACTGACTTGAGGTTTTGTGTTTGTGTTTGCAAATGTTGCGGTTAGCAAGAGTCGCCACCGACTTTTCTTTTATCCAAAAGGAAAGGTAAAAAAGCACAGGAAAGACCTTTGAGATTGTTTTTGGGTTCGGGGGGTAGATTATGAAAAGGGAAGGTTCTAGCACCCTTTTCATCCATGGTTTTCCATGGGCTCTTAGTTACTTGTTTAGATCACTTGCTTTGCTTTTGCAATTGTTTGAAATGGTGCTTTGTGTGGTTTTGAAAGTATTTTGAAAAGAGGCCTTTGTTTAGGCAATCTTTGTAATGATTCTCGTTTGTAAGAATGTATACAAAGATGTTTGTCTTTTGAAAAATGTTTCAATGTTTTGAAAGTTGTTTGGAAATGTTTTGAAAAGTGTGTGTTTGTTTTTGAAAATAGCAAGGATTGTTTGCAAATTGATCAAGTAACTAGAAGCTTATCTACCTACTCAAAAGCCTTTCCTATACATTTTTATTCCTTTGACATTGTTAACCTACCATTGTTTTGGTAGATAACCCTATCTTTGGATGTTAAACGGGACGGGCGTGGGTCATCGTATGACCATGATAGCAATGGTGCCAAGTATCTTAGCAAGTTTGAGGGACCAAGATCATTTGTTTAGGCAACCTTTTGATAGCGTCATCGAGGGACTATGATCTTTTGTTTTGTTTGATTTTGCCAAGATACCTTGCATGCATACCATGGCCATTT